CTGCCGCCCTCGGCCCCGCCCCCGTCGCCGCCCTCCCTCCCGCCCTTGCCGCCGCCGCCCTCCGCGCCGCCACCGGCCATACCCCTGCCCAGCCTGCCGCCGCTGCCGCCGCTGCCACCCGCGCCTCCGTCCGAGCCGCCGCCCTCGCCGCCGCCGCCGTGGCTGCCGCCGCCGTCCACGCCGCCGCCATCTCCGCCGCCGTCGCCGCCACCGACCCCCCCGAGTCCTCCTCCTCCTCCGCCGCCGCCTACAACGCCGCCAGCGCCGCCGCCGTCGCCGCCGTCGCCGCCGCCGTCGCCGCCTCCGCCGCGCCGGCCTCCGTCCCCGCCTCCCAACAGCTGCCTCTCGCTCGCCGCGCGCGGCGCAATATTCGCGGGCCCGCTGGAGACGATTGAGGTCCACGACCCTTCCCTCGGCACCTCTGGTGAGGTCAAGCTGAGAGGCGGCCGAGAGGCGGCCGAGAGGCAGCCGAGGTGCAGCTTGGTTGCAGCCGAGAGAACCCTCAACCACGACTCCCCCCTTGAAGAACCTCGGCTCCATCTCTCTACTGCTCTCGGCTGCTAGGCGGGGTCTGCGTCTGCCCCGACGGCTCTCCCCACTTCGCCGCCGACAACAACGACGGCTGTGCGCGTCCCTCTCTCGCCTGCCTCGGCGCCTCCGAGGTGGCCGCGTGTCTCCATATACAGGTGGCGTGTCCTGTAGGTGCGTCCCTCGCCTGCTTCGGCGCCATCTCGGGGTCGTGCAACACGTCTCCGGGCGCCTGGTCGCACAAGCGAGTCACGTGCGGCGGCTGCAACGCGATGCGCAGGGCGGACTTCCGCGGGGTCGACCTGTCCTACTCCAACTTCGAGGGCGTCGACCTCTCCGAGGCGCGAGGGTCGCCCCCCCTACCTTGCCCCACCACCTCGTATGTGTGTGGAGAAGTTTACCTTTACCTTACCTTACCTCTCCGAGGCGCTGCTCGACGGCGCCGACCTCTCGCACGCGCGCCTCTCGGGCGCCACCGCCAGCGGCGCCTCCTTCGTGGGCGCAAGCCTGGTGGGGAGCCTGCCCCGCGTTTGCACGGCGCCGGCCTTCCCTCGGCCGGCTGATCCTAGGGATGATCTCGGCCGCATCTCGGGCACAGGTGGGAGCGGACCTGTCCGGCGCTGACCTTCGCTCGGCGATCCTCGCGGGCGCGAGGCTGCAGGAGGCGAGGCTGTCGCGCGCCCGGCTCGACAACGCCAACCTGAGCTTCGCAGACTTGCGCCGCGTCTCGATCGACTTCGTCGACGAGGCGGCCAACGCCACCTTCGACGGCGCTAGCATGGAGGGGGCCGTCTTCAAGAAGTGCGCCATCTCGGGCGCTCGAGGTCCGGTGTGGGGGGGGGCGGCTAGTTGACTCGCCTCCCCTGAGCGGCAGGTGCGTCCTCACTCGAGCCTCGTTTGAGGGGGCGAACCTCGAGGGCGCACGCTTCGACGACTCGAGCCTCGTCGGCTGCCGCTTCGGCGCGACGGCGCGTCTCGCGGGCGCCTTCTTCGCAGACAGCCGCCTCGACCTCTCCTCCTTCCGCGGCGCCCTCATGGACGGCGTTTGGATGGACCTGTCGCAGGGACGATCCTCCTTCCGCGACGGCCCAGCTCACCTTTCCGTATGAGTGGCTCTCTAGGCGTCCAGATGGACAAGACTCGCGCTGTCCGCACCGACTTCAACCGCGCCTCCCTCCGCGGCGCAGAGCTGGTCGGTTGCCAGTTCTCCCGCTCCGACGCCCGCTTCGCCGACTTCACGAGCGCCGACCTGACCGGGGCCGACTTCACGGGGGCCCTGCTCTACCGCGCGGTCTTCCGCAAGGCCGACATCACCGACAGCAGCTTCAGGCGCCCGCCGCACACATGACACGCCAGTGTGTGTAACGTGCAGGGGTGCACGCGCTCCTTGTGTGCCGATCCCTAACTTTGCCTCATAGGCTCGTGAGGTATCACGAGGCGGACTTTGCGGGGGTCATCGGGCTGGCGACGGCAGACTTCATGGACTCGCGGGGGATTCCAAAGGGCATGCCAAAGACGACCACAGTCTCGAGCTGGCGAGGATAGCTTCCACATAGCGCGCAGGCTCCACAGGCAGCGCGCACCCAATCAATACCGCGCATTGACATGTGCGGTGTTCGGTCTCACGCCCATTTTTCATGCACTCATGCACAATAAAAAGTGCTACACCCTACAGCTACACGGCTCACGCGTCACGGCTCACGTCGTCACTGTGTGCACATACAAGATACGTACATACCGTATAAACTAATACTGGCACACCTGCCCCCGGCCCGGCTGCCGGGTGCCGCGCACGCCGCACGCCGCACGGCCACGTGCAGCCTGCACATCGTCGTCCCCCACTCTTTCTCTACACTACATTAACGTTGGACAAATCACCGTCACTCGTTAGTGACGATGGCTGCGACCGCGGCGTGGACGGCGTCCTCGAGCTCGTTAGTCAGCTCACACCCCTCGAGGTCGCCCTCGAGGTCGACGGCCCCCGTCGCCGAGTTGGAGCGGCGGAGCTTCACCTCCTGCAGCGAGGCGCCTGCAAGAGAGCCAGGGGGAAATCAGCCCGGCAGTGCTGTGCACGACGGGGCACGGGGGGCATGGACCGGCCACCTCGGGGAGTGGGGGAGGAGGAGTCGTCGATGGAGTCGTCGATGGAGGAGAAGCAGCCGGGCAGCGGAGTGGGTAGCCCCTTTGACGCGCGGCGGATCATCCTCCGGACGGAGGCGTTGTCGTGCTCGAGTGCGATGAAGGAGATGGAGTCGTCCGAGGCGCAGGTCGTCCTCGAGGCGTTCGACACCTCGGAGCCGCCGGAGCGGAAGAGGAAGGAGGGAGACGCGGCGCGGCGCGGCGACGGAGTGCTAGGTGTGGTGGGCTGGCGCGGGCTTCCCAGGCCGATGCTCGACGAGCGGCGCGGGCTGCCGGCTGAGCCCATGCTAGAGCGACGGCGCATGACCTCGTCGCCACCTCGAGCCAGGAGCAGGGCCACCATGTCCTCGCCGGACTCCTCGAGCTCGGCGGCCATGTGAATCGGCGTCATGCGGTAGACGTCCGGAAGGCCAATCTCTCTGCACGGAGTCTGCCTCGTAAGGACTTCGACGGCTTGCAAATGCCCGTGAGAGACAGCGACATGCAAGGCCGTCTGCCCGTCCGTGTCTACCGCATCCGCTCGCGCGCCCATGGAAAGCAGGAACGCCAGCTGAGCTGCCTCGCCGCGCTCCGCCGCCTCGTGCAACGGCGTGGAGCCCAGATGAAGAGCGTCGCCGCGCTCCGCCGCCTCATGCCCAGCCTCGTGAGGCGGCGTGATGGCAGCCTCGGCGAGCGGCGCAAGACGAGCAGAGGCGCTTGCCATGGCAGCTTCCATATCAGGATCGAGACTGTAAAGCCGAGCACCGACAGCCGCCCCGGGCCCCCCCCACTCTGAAACGCCGTCAAAAACGCTTTGAATGACCCGGTTTGCTGAATCCGACCAGCGCTCTACGCTCGTCGGTGGCGGCTTCCCTCAACCTGCGCCGCGCTCGGCGAACCTCGACAGCGCCTTCGGTGGCATGCAGCTCATTGCGACAGAAGCCTGGAGAGCAGCTCCTCTGCTGCTCACACGCTCTGCAGTCTGCACAGACGTGTGAGTGTTAGAGTTGTTTGTTTATTGCTAAAAATCTCTCTCTCTCTCATTGCACAGATGGCACAGCCTACTGTGCGGCTGCCACAGCTGTGACAGCGATGGGCTCGCCCTCACTGGCCCTCAGTCACTTGTGCTGCGGCTTGTGTGAGCGACACTGCTCGGCGACTGCCGGCACACTGTGAGACCATGGGTGTGAGGTAAAACCACGCTACCAGCGCTTGGTCACATCGGCCCCGAGGTCAGATCCTTCTACTCCTGTTCGTCTGTTGGTGACAAGAAACTTGTCTACTGAGCAGGAGGGCCTGGCGCACACAGCCCCTGTGGCTGTGCAACTCAGGGTCCACTCTCCACACCAGGTCACCACATCCCGTACTAGCTACTACTTTACAGACGGCGCATGATAAGATAATATTATATATTATTATATGCAACCCAAACACCGCAGGACGCAGCGAGCCACGAGAGATGCACGACCAGGACTACATGCGACAGAACAACAACACAAACAGCGCCGACCCACAGCGCGCGTCTCACAGCACCCTCTCGGTATCCCTCCCCTCGCGCACCACCACCCGCACGTCGGGACTGAGCTCGAGCTCGCTCAAGTCGTAGCACTCCTCCCCGTGCTCCCCGTGCGGGTTGCCGAGCCCCTGCCCTCCGCCCGCCTGCCGCTCCGACACAAAGACAACATCGGGGTCGAGGAT